TTTTGCAATCAACTCTAATTAGGGAGATTATAACTGCTCCTCCATTTTTCTTCTGGGATATCTTTGAACAGTGGGCAATAAATGCCAGCAGTGCAGGTAAAGACAACAGTGCTATGAGATTTTGCTCTGGGCATCTTAAAGGCAATGATGATGGTCAGTCTACACCTCAGAAGCGTGAAGCTACACTGTGTTCTGCATCACTTTGTGTGGTGCTCCTGTGAGATGAGACAGCAAAGAAATGAACCAAAACAAACCCTGACTGAGTTGCAATGCTTGTGTAAAAATGCTAGTGTACAACATTGTCATTTATGGCCATGTAAAGCAGAAATGCTAAAGTTACCTAAAGTAACGTTACTGAGTGCACACAGGTGTAAACTTAAAAAAAAAAAAAATAGTAACTGGGAGGACGTGTTACCCAGCAGTAAGAGAGGTATTTTCTCTTGTGTGGAAGGAATTAGGCAAACAAGTTTCTAGAAGCAGCAATATATAAAATGATGCGTGTACGGTTTTGATGCTTGTGTATTTAACTGTAACAAAGGTGCAAGCTGCCTTCAATATTACTGTTTGGGTGCATTAGCTACTGTTAGTACATTTTGTGAATTGTATAGTGTTTTTTTAAACATGTGTCCTTTTGCAACTAAACCAAAGATCCTCTTGGGTCAAATGTTCAGGTTCTTCTTTTCTCATGCCTTTTACAAGCCAGTACCTGCATTACTGTAACAGCACTCTTGGCCTATAGGTTACCTCATTCCTTCCAATTCATTTGCAAATGCCTAGTTCTGTGTGTTCGCCTACTCTTCTGAATGTAGGCATGTCAAAGTCAGCGCAGTTTCTCCCCTTCTAGAGGAGGCCACCTTCTGTCCCAGGTAACCCAGCTGAGCTGTGTGTTTCTTGTGACACGTGTTACCATAGTGTCGTAAAGGCTCAGAGGGCATTGTAGCCTTGCTTCACCCTTTGCTTGTTGAATATTCTCCAGTCTCTTTATTGGCTGTGTAATCTGGGTAGAGGAAGCCTGTCTCTTGAATAAACAATGATGTGGCACATGCTTTCCTGCATTGTTGTTGTACTATGGATGGAAGAACTGCTGTAATTGAAGTATCTGTGCAATCTCTTTGATTGCTGTTATATGCAGGTTGTATTTGTAACTGGCAAGTTTCAAGGTTATTAACTGGGTGATAAGAGTGTTGGGAATTGTGAGCAGAAGACTAAAGACGGTGTATGTGTAGTTCATGTAAAGGTAGAACCTTCAATTCTCTCCTGGTCACCCCTGTTTTCCTGGATTACTCCTTTCCCTATGTTTTGTAACTTGTGCCTGGCAGCTGCCAGTAAAGGCGGCTTATGTGCCTGCCCTGTGGATCAACGAGCTATGGAAGTACATAGTCAGCAGCCTGCTCTGAGAGAGAGCAGGTTGCATCCTCTGTGCATCAATCCTTTAATGAGTAGGAAAGTAAGTGTCTTGTTGCACTATGGCTCCTGGATTTTGGGGGTTCAAATGAAAAATGGTTGGAGTCCTAGCTGGAGGGTCCTCTGAAGAACAGCATCTGTCTTAAAACTATTCTTCATATTATTTAGAAGAACTTCTCTACTAAAAGAGAAAATGGACATTGATTATTTAAGCTCTTCAGCTAGACAGTACAAAATCTATCGTTTAATTCCATTTTTTCCTTGTTGAATATTTTTAGCTAGATTTCTGTCCATGTTATGAGAAAAAGCTGGTTGCATCCACATCTTCCATGGACTAAATACAATAGGAAAATATTATGGATCTGTTTTCAGGGTATCCCCTCCCCTGCTTAATACTATAATCCCCATGTGCCACATAGATGTCAGAATTTCTTCTGCCACATATTCCTCCCCACATTTAAATTGTTTCCTTTAGCATTTGGCACATACTTCTTTAAACTTGCATGCTTATATTGCAGCAAGCTGTGGTACTGGAGACCAAATGCCATATGCATTAACAAAAAGCTCTGTCATATGG